TCTTACCAAATACTTCAATAAATAAGTTTTATACATATTTCGAAAGTACTTTAAATTCTCTATAGATTGATGTATCGTTGACTATAACCATGTGTGTTCTTCATTATGAACTAGATTAATAACGATATACATAGTAGTAATGAAATAATCTAACTTTTCGTGACTCCATCCATCCTTTATATAACAGCATAATTTCTGAATAGTCATTACCTACTACCGTACTATCTTTTACCTTGTTTGCTATTTTGGTGGGGAGTAACCGAAAAGTATTGTGAAATACTTTAGACTATTGCTTTCTATTGAATAACAACATAAAACTACTTTAACAATACGAGGATTTTTGTAAATGTCGATTTTATGAAGATATATGTATAAATAATTTCTAAGAGTAGCAAACTCAGTTGAGAAATGTAAACAATTTATGAATGAATTATACACTTAAAAACCATTTGTGAATAGTCATAAGGTTAACCAGTAACCAATAACAAAATATGTACACGTGAAAAAGATCACAAATGGAACCATATCTTGCACATTGATTATTCTGAACATCAGTTACATTTCTGACATGTTTAATTTTAATAACAATTATTACAACAAAAAACGAAAGACATTTCAATTATCATGAAGCAAATTAAGACTAGTTTTAAGCTGTTCAATAACCGCTTGTTTCATCGAACTAAATAACTGTTGACAAGCATTTGTTGCTGAATCTAACATATCATTGTAGGTGATTGCGTGAACACGTGATTCACAACTAAGCGACACAATTTCATTTCGTTGTGGCATTATTGTCAATGTTAATTTTGGTGTTTGCTGCTGTTCTTCTTGCTGATTTAAATCAACAATATATTTTCCTTGTATATTACCAACAGTTGATGAACAAACAAAATCTTTGAGTGGTATACCGGCATTAATCAGTGCCAATGTTGTAGCATTTACACACGGACAATAATCATTTCCATCTGATTGTAATATCTTCAAATAAATATCAATTTGTGATTTTGGATATGTTTCGGTGAGAATTGCTTGTTGAAATACACGTTGTATGGACATTTGAATTTTTTGACTTTTTAAATCACCATACGTTTTCAAACGTCGTTCACTAACACAATATTGTGTCATCGAAAAATCACATGTAATAACGGCTTGTTCTTGATTCGATCGACCTTCGTACGGTCCATAAATCATTGCCAATAATTTACAGTTACCATGTTCTAAATAACATGAACCATCAGCATCGGACATTGTATTGAATAAACAACGAAATTGTCGTAATTCATCCGATTTTCGACCATCCATACGGTATCCTTCGACCGAGATTAAATCGAATGCAGCTACATGTTCCATATTACTGGTAGATGTTAAGTTGTTTTTAGTACTGGTTTTCATCGTCGTTGATGATGTATCCATCTGTTCAGTAGTAATATTATCCATCTGTAATAAAAGAAGATGAATAGAAGAAGTTAGCTAAATTAAACTCAATAGTTATAAGAATTATGGTTGTCATGCTACTTTATCATTTAATAATTTTTTAGTGTTTTATATACATTGTACAAAAAAAAAGAAAGATTACAAACAACAATAATATCTAATGCGTGAATAGAGAAATTGAGATTAGTAGTTTTAACAATCACTAAGCGACATAATTAATAATGAATGTTGTTTGAGATGTTTTTTGAGAGAAATAAATCAAACTTTATTCAAAGCCTGGAAATCGAGCGTGTTTTGGATTGACCATATCAGCCATAAAATAGATGGTACCAGCCAAACCTTCAAATAATGACAGTGGATGATCAGGCTGACGTGACAAACGATGTTTATCATATTCCAAGCAAAATTCGGCAAACTAAAAAATAATTGTTGAATATCATCAATTTAAACAATCATCAGCGTTCTTATGTGTGTTAGTGTTGTCAAAAAACCTTGAATTATAAATTTCTTACTTTAACAGCACGATGTAACCATCTCATATCTTGAGTTACTCTGAATAAATTGAGAAATACATAACCATTGCCCGCAGTACCATGACATAGGCCATAACTTTTTGTTAATAAACCCCGTTGCCATACAACATCTCCAGCATCTGTTGCTAACTGTAGATATTTTGTATCTCCTGTCACCTTAACAAGAGATTTCATTAATGTGATACTATATTTGCGATCGTAGTTTAATATACTTCATACGCTCGAACAAACATGAATACAAATCCCGATGCACCATGACACCATTGAACAAGTTTATCAGAATGACTGTTTGTAGATGATAAATAATTTCCACTGGAAATTTTCATGCTTTTCAGAAATTCTATTGTTGGTAGTAAATGAGATTCAATATACGGTCGTAGATGTGAAAAACTTTCATGTGAAGTGACCTAAAATAATTATATTTGTTGTCAAACATGTTTTACTCCACGATTTCTCATTTATTTAAACTTACTTTTAAAAGAAGATAAATAATGCCGGATACGCCATGAGCAGCTCCTAGATATTCTTCATCGTGCCATTGATACATCAACGGTGATTTTGAATTAATATGACGAGCATATTTTTCTCCAGATTTAATCATATATTCAAAAACCTTAAAATAAGATTTAAAAAAAAGAATAAACCTGCATTATACCGTCCGTCATTTCTAACTTACGTCAGTTATAAGTTGTGAATCAATAATCTCGCTGCTAACCTCTTTTCTTAGAAATATTAGCGCGTACAGGTACCCAGCTCGACCATAGAGATATTCGTCAGGATTCGAACGACTCAATACAGAATTTTTCATTGACACAATCCTAAATGATAACATATCTATAGTAGAATAACGTTATAATTTTCATTGTAAGCTAAATTACTATCAATTCAAAATCGAATGGAGCACAGCGTTTCTTGAATGGCTTTTGATAGACAAGTGATGAAACCCTGCGGTTTCAACCATTCTGTAGTAAAAACCGAAGGATGCCTCACTATGATAAAACAAAGTTCTCCCAAAAGGTCTACTATGGTGTGAATTTTGAGTGAAGATCTCGAAGATCCTCGTACCTCGAAAAAAGACGGATTTTGACATCTAAGAGAGTGATTCGAACCACTGGACTTCACTTCACAAAACTACACAAGTCCTAAGATTCTATCTGAAAAAATCCATTTTTAGGTATTTTCACGAAAAACTAAGTCAAACTGATCCAAACTACACCAGAATTTCAACATGTACTCCATTTTCTCTGCTGAATCTGGTCTTGAAATAAGAAGTTCAAAAAAACTTTTAAAAGCCACAGCACTTTCTATCTATTTTTAAAATCTCTGTTGAAATTCAAAATATACAGCAGAGAAAATGGAGTACATGTTGAAATTCTGATCGGTTTTGACGAATTTATAAATCTAAATTTATAAATTCACATCACAGTAGACCTTTTGAGAGAACTTTATTTTATCATAGTGAGACGTCCTCTGATTTTTACTACAGAATAGTTGAAAGCGTAGGATTTCATCACTTGTCTAATAAAAGCCATTCAAAAAACGCTGTGCTTCATTCTATTTTGAATTTCATAGTAGTAAAAAAACTGTAATATCAAATGACAGAAAATAATGTAGACATATTCATTAGTTTTTACTGATCGACACATTTTTGTACTGTCTTTGTATCACCAAGTCCATTATAAATGACAGCTGCCACTGCAAGTGGTCCAACATCACCACATAGAAACGTAATACGTTTTCCTAAAAACCGAAAAATTCAATTCTTCTCTTAAAATAACAATAGAACATCATCAACCTACCATTCAGTTGATGAATTGCACTATCAATCAAATTTTTTGCTTTTGTTATATAATCATTTTGTTGTGTTGGAAATAGAAATGCTAATCTCATATATAATAGCGCAATACCAGTTGATCCCGTATAAATCGACGGATCATTATCGTCTATTTCATGTTCAAATTTTTTCGAATATTGTTGAATCCATTTAGTAATTTGTGATGCAAACGGTTCACTCAACTAAAATTGACCATCAATCTAAGACTTTCATATGAAATTTTGGTTAAATTGAAGATAAAAAATAGTTACTTGTCCGCTATTTTTATCCAAATAATTTTCACCATTGTAATCATTAAATTTATTCTCAAAGAAACGATTACTCATCCTGTACAAATAAATCTAAAAAAATTTATCATATTAAAATTTGAGAAAAATAAGAAACTATTGAAAATCTTTCCTTTACTTTTTTAATGTAGAAAAAGTCATCTACAGACGGGCACATCTATCTATTCTTTAACAGTAAAAAAATACAGGTTTTTTTCAAAGTAAAGTAAAATATACGAAAAACAATCTTTTTAAATGAGAATTAAATTACAGAATAAATGACTTGATGCCTCTTTTTGAGATTGCACAAATTTTTAGTTTTGATGTATTTTGTATTGGAATAGAGAAACAAGAAATAACAACATCAACATAAAAAAATTTCGTATAAAAGAATAAGAGTAAAACAATTTATCTAAATTATTGGTTATAAATCATGATGAGGATGCAATTGAACATGTTCGTCAGCATCGTCGACTTCTTGCTCTGTTACTGTTTCCGTGGACTTATCAAAATCATTAGTATCATCATTTTGTTGTTTAACTTCATCATTAACTGGCTTAGAATTTTTGCTTTTCGAACTAATAATATGCACAATTTCATAAATAATATCCGATATGTGATGTTGATGCTAAATAAAAACAGTGGTCATCTATTTCATTAATAAAATGGTAAATAGAAGAAAAAAATTAGATATTATTTTAAAAATCTCTCGTTTTTATTGGATTCAACAAAAAAAATACGTACTACACCATCGATATCTTGAATTTCTGACTTTGTTATTTTACCATTACCATCAATATCAACACTATCATAAAACTAAAAATTACATTGAAAAATTGAAAAATACAATGTATAACAAAGTATAAACGAAAGTTTTCTATTCACCTCTTCGAATACTGATAAAGTCTCTTGATCAGAACCAATATCGAATGATAAATGCTATTTTCAAAAAGATTATCATTATATTGAGTATATTTTGTGAAAGAATCACATACTTTAGAAAATACACGTTTCCACTGTTCAAAACCGTTAACATTTTTACTAATAAGATCTAACATTAAACTTCTGAAAATAAACAGATAATGTTCTTATAAAATACTTAGACTCTCCTACACATCATTTTTTATGTATATTACTTTAGACTTTGAGGTTGATTTTCAGGTGCCGGCCACTCGATCATATCGAGTGTCAATGATGAATCAAATTCGTTTGGTGAACATGTTTTTGAATCTAATTCAATATCAATAGCATGATCATGATTAATATTATACACAATGCCTATGTTGCTTTCAAATAAATGCACTTGGTAAATCCTATACACAAAAAAAAAGAGAGAAATAGTTAAAATAATTGAACATAAATTCAATTTTTTATAGTCGATACCATAAAGCTGGAATAAAAAGACAATCTCCACTTGTCATGTTAACTTCATAATATTTAAGATTTAAAAATGCTGGATATTTGTCATAATCGATTCTAAATAGAAAACACTTTTTTTTATTAGTTATTATAAAGTTATTATAGTTTGGTATTTTTGTTTCCGAATGCAGCGAACGAAATGATGACATCCTTCATCTTTCATGCTAACATTTTCTTTTTAGTTTACTTTTCTAGATCAACGATTGAGTCATCCCGTGTTTTATTATAAAATAGCATCTAAATATAAAAAAACAAACTATGTTTAAATCTAATATTAGTTTAATGAATACATACTTCAATAATGTTTGAATGTTTATGTGTATCTATCATAATAAAACGTTTTTGTCCTCTTAATAAACAATGGATACTATCAAATTCTTCATCATGCATAATGGATGTTGAACTGCTCCTACTACTAAATAATAAAATCTAAAATAAAATCAAAAATGATAAATCAAATATAGAAAAAGCGTTCTATAATTGTATACTTACTGCTGATTGAAATGTATCTAATGCATTTGGACACTGTAATGGTTTTGGTATAATGAAATATTTTCTAGAATAGAATAAATCATTCTTACGTTGAAAGTTGCATAAAAAATTTATTGATAATTATTACCTTAATGTTTTGGGTATTTCATCAATCAAAAACATATCTTCTTCTTTATATCGTGAAAGAAATTCAGGAAATTTTAAACGCAATCGATGATGTTGAGGTTGTTGTTGAGGTTGAGTTAATTCAACATTAACTATTGTATTTGAAAGTTCATGAATATCTTCTAACTGTTCATCATTTTGCCACATAGAGATGTGTGGATCATCGGAAAGGGCTTGATGAAATAAAACTGTTTCAGATTTTATTAAATAATCATTGTAGAATTTTGATGTGGACGGAAATTCATTTACAACAGTAATTTGATGTTGATTTTTCGTTTGAGATTTTGATAAACAACCATTTACTAAGAAAGTGTAAATTATCGAGAATAATACAAGAGACAACGATCCTAAGTCCATAATGGCGCTAGATCTGAAAGAAAAACAGTTCCAGATGTGTGAATACAAGAAAGATTTATTTATCTGATAAATATTCGAGAAGGTAGAATATTCTCTACGTTCGAACAATAGACTTTTGTATCAAGTCGATTTTGAAGATATACAAGTCTGACTTATTTGTAGAAAATTATCCAAATGTTGAGTGAGAACAACAAATAATCTTCTTTATAGACTCATCAATATTGACTAACACTATAGAACAGTGAAAATAAAATTGATTTCTTAGCCTTTAATCCAAACCATACTTGAACTAGACATTGGTTTAAAGCTTTGAATTCACGCCGACGTTTGGCTACTTTAAATATATGTGATAAAGTAAAAGACATCTCGTTCTATCTATGATGACGAAGTAAACTCAAAGTTATACGACAGCGTTCGAACTTTTTTCTCATGGTTTGTACAAGTAGCATAGTTAAAGCCAAATACAGTCGTTTGAAAAATAACACAATATCGTTTGATGATAACTTTATCGTGCAATTCTAAACAGTAAGAGATAACGGTGAGAACTTTAATAAAGAACAAGAAAATGAGGTTCAATCATTCGTCATGAGGTATACAAAAACTGAAAGACTCAAAGAGCTTTTTCTAACATTCGATTCATCACTGAGAAAATATGGTATTCATTGTTTTCAAGATTCAAAAAATTTTCGTAACTTATTCTTATTTTCCCCAAATATCATATTCTTATTCTCTACTGAATTATTCATAATTGGCGATTTCATTGAAATTATCATATAAGAACGTCGCTAATGTCTTTAAATATTCAGCATTATATTTTATTTTCTCACATCAGCTTCTGAGTGAATCCATGGGAAATGCGCCTTTCTGGAAAAGCTTTTATTGCCACTTTTTTCAGTTTTCTAGCTAGCACCGAATCAGAAAACAACTTTGGTCGAAAAAAATGTGTTACTTTTCCCGAAAATATCAGAGATTCAGTGCCTTTTCTAGGTATATCCAAGGGGCGTCA